ACATTAACATAGTAACGCGGACTGTACATGTTGGTAGAATGCTACGCTGACAGACACTGTGCGTTTTGGCTTGACTCTACCACACTACCTACGAGCTACGCTCATTTACACTACACTACACTACATATCATACATATCCAAGTACCGTACTTTCCCATGTTATGTTCTTTTGATACTTTGTGTTCACTTTATTTACCTGCTACCGTCATGTTTTTCCCTCTAGCACCTGGGTCTGCACACTTGAGTCCAACCTCAGTCCCCCCTCACCCTCCTGGTGAGGGGGGCTACCATAACACTGGGTTTCATCATTCATTCATTTTTTTAACAGTCTATTCTTTCACAATCTAAACGGTCTCTTTAGTAATCCACATTCACAATTAGGCACCACAGACAGGCATGGCATCAAAGAAGGCAAAGATGAAAGTATGTAAAAATGGAGATTGAAAATCATTTCGTCCTGATTGTTCTCATCTCACACATACAAAATGCAGTGTGTCACCTTCATCAAAAGGACCATATGTGATAGGATACCAGCAGTATACTCATGTACTGTAAGTACAGTATACTCATGCCAATGTAAATAACCCATCAAACTACAACATGTATTTAAAAAATTGTCTTTGAGCTTATGTATTAGCAGTGCTTGCAACTCTAGTAGAGCTTTACCAGCCAGTTTGAGAGGAAAATACATCTTAATGAAGTCAGCCACAGGGGAATGGTGTGCCTTTGGCTGTTAATTGATTTCCTTTGTCTTTCCAAGTCTTTTTTTTTTTTTTGCTAAATACACTAAAAACAAGACTTTCTTGCTGATACCAAAACAATGAAACCAGCTCTGAATGCTGTCCAAGTTTATGGGAACATTTAGCAAAGGAGAACATTATAAATTAATTTCTATGAATTATTAATTACTCATTTGGATGCAATTGTTTCTCTAGAAACGTCACACACTGCTGGTCTCCGAATCTCTGTCAGTGAATTCAGAAAGCATTGTTTTCTGACAGTGTAGCAGATTGAGCCTGCTGTTTAGAGGCCTCTCCATTATAATACACTGGTACATGTAGCTGTGTTTTAATGTAAAAAGGTCATTGTTACAGTTTACCAGCAGTGGGTTCATTAACATGCTCAAATGTACTAAGAATGGGGAAAAACCTCTTACCAGTACCACAGGCTTTAACTATTGGACAAGAACTGTGGAAATTATAATGACTATTATAAAATGAGAATGACTTGAACACAGGAGGGATTACAGGTATTTTGTGCTCTTCAGTGTTATTTAATGAGCTTTTATTAGCAACTACAGTACTGTTTGTATGTTCCTACTAGCTGCTTGTTATTTGAGACATTGCTATTCTTTGACTAGTGGCTTTCACTCATTTACTCTAATTTGTCATTGCACATTTTCAGTACAACAAAACTTAATTTGCATTACTGAGAAATGAAAGAGAACAGAAGCATATATACTGTAAATAACTATAGATAAGAAGTAGTGAAGTTGTTGGAATCTGTGTAAACACTGGAAATGTAATAATACTGGAAAGGTAAGTGTTGTCAGGCAATTTAGCTCACATGCACATGAGTGACTTGAAAGAGCCCATGGCATGCTTTTCCTTGTTTACTGACCTATCTACAATGTTACAACTGTGAATTATCATCTTAAACTTCATCTAAAGCTCAAAAGATGAGGTGTATGTATGTTCTAGTTCTTCTTTATACAAGTTTCGCAAACTCTTGCTAGTTTTTTCCCCAACAATGTAAAGTTTTACGTGATATTTTAAGGATTTCCATGCATGGTCATAATCTCCAGGCAGTTGGTCGCCTGTAATGCCAGGGATTTGTTTGGGAAGATGCAGCGATCACTGGTTGGATTTTCAGACCTTGAAGTTTTCACTACTCGGTGGGACTTAAAGGTAAGTAAATAGAAAACACACACACATGTTGCATGCCTTTTAAAGCGCTGTTTCTGTAGCGAATTGTTGTAAGGCTGGAGAAGTTACTATGTCTGCATTATGCCAGTTAAAATATGGGGCTTCTAAATTACCCACTTTGTTTAGTGTTACAAATCTCTTTTCATCAGTACATATACTGATGTTTACCTATCTATGGAGGAGAAATTCAAATTAATTAATTCTGTTGTGGTCCGTCCTGCTGTCCAATATCATATTCTGGCTCGACCATGTCAAGTAGTATATGAGGTTTTGTCATTGCTGAGAACATAGCTTATATGTCAGTGCTTTTTGTTTATGTGTTGTCCCTGCTTCCTGACCAGTCTTGTGTCAAAAAGTGCTCCCCCATCAAGATGTGTTTCTCATGTTCAAAACTAGTTTTCATGTAGTGTCCCCTCCTCAGTGGTTGTGTTTAGGATAATGTTAGGATTCAGGTTAGGGGAGACACATCCCGATAGGAAAACAGATTTCGAGACAACACTGCACTATATCTAGTGCTAATTTCGCTATCACTGCCTCTGTTGTAGAGATTTGGGGAAATGAAAAGTCATGTTAAAGGTGTTATTGGGTCAATCAGTAAGGCTCTGAGAGGGCTTAAAATAAACATGATGCCAGTCAAATCATTTTTCAGGCTTATCTCTGAGTCAGAAGGTCAGCAAATACAAGATTTGGGCTGCTGTCTAGCCATTATAGCTAACTACATAGGAATATACTGTACATCAGGGTCAACTTGCTGGCTCCACCTGATGATCAGGTGATCAGTCTATGCAGTGAACTGATTTTCTTCAAATGGAAAGTAAGCACAGAATCCATCCATCCATGATTTCTACCTCTTATTCTGTAGAGGGTGTGGGGTTGCCATAGCCAATCCCAGCTGTCACTGGGCAAGAGTACACCCTGGACAGGTCGCCAGTCTATCACAGGGCCGACACTTAGAGACAGACAAACACATTCACTCCTATGGGCAATTTAGAGTCGCCAGTCAACCTAAGCTGCAGGTCTTTGGACTGCGTGAGGAAGCTAGAGCACCTGGAGAACCCACGCAGACACAGGGAGAACATGCAAACTCCACACATAAAGGAACCTGGAACCTTCTTGCTGTGAGCAGCAGCACTAACCACTACACTGCCCTGAAACATAGGATGAATGATCTAATTTAATCTAATGTCACCCACATAAACAGGCAGAATACCGAGTTATAGCCAACCAGTCTGATATATGGAGGTGTGTGTGTGTGTGTGTGTATGGATTTAATGAACGGAGGAGGAAGCTTTTCACACTCACTATAAAGCAGCTATAGACAATAGAGACAGTAAGAATCACTTATACTCATTTATAGATAAATAAAGACAGAGTTACTGACATTCCTGTTTTAACTATATTCAACCTTATTATTATATTTAAATTCAGATTTAAATCTGAATAAAAAACATCTACTGGCTGAGGAGGGTTTAATTGTTTATTTACAGTGGGAGTAATGTTGTATTATTGCACATTGCTGTATTATTGTTTTCTTTGCCAATTCCAGATAAAATCATCATACTGTCATCAGATTAATGTTGCTCCAGAAACAGACACAGTTCTGATGCTCCTACTTTCTGTGCAAAGTCTGGGAACACCTGTTTGCATCTCCACTCCAACCTCCCACAGACAGGAAAAGAGAATGTCAAGGTTGGTGCATCACATGCATTGGTCACTGCT